GATGTTGTGATTCTCCACGGCTTGTCCCAGAGGCTGAGGGTCTGAAAGCTGTTTGATGTCGTACAGATGAGGGGGAAGTGGGGACCATCCTGGGTTGCCACTTAGAAGAGGCTGAGCGTTCCTGTAACAGGTTTGGACCAGTTTATTTACTCAGTTTCCCTGATCTACCACTGTGTGTGTCTCACAGGGAGCTTGTGCACAAGGATTTAGCACAGAAATAAGTGCTGGACCCATCCATTCCCTGCTCAGAGCCGTCTGAGGTGGAAGAGACAGGAAAAGAGCTGCGGGCATCGTGCTCAAGAGACAGGAGTCACTGGGGCGGGAGTCTCCTGCTTCTTCTCATTAAATCATGGTCATGTCCTGGCCTGGCCTGTGGACCTCACCGTAGACAGTAGTGAGAGAGTTCTCCTCTTCTAGATGTGGTTCTCCCCTACCCTGGAATGCAGGCAGAGGGTTCCAGGAACAGCTGAGGGACGCAAAGGATACAGAGGGAACCACAGAGACCCACAGAGACCCAGGGCTGCACATGACCTCCCCTAGTGCCCACCACTGCATGGACCCCTAGAGAATTTTTAAGTTAATACTGCATTGTCCAGAAAGGGTACAGAGGCATGGAGGCCAGGAGCTGCAGGTAACTGGGACTGGCACCCAGGCACAGAGGGACTTGGGAGAACCCAGGCTGCCCCATCCCCATCCCCGGTGTCTCCAGACACCTGCTTTCTATTATAGATGCCAAAATCAGGGTCCCTGGGCTCCTCCTGTGATCCTGGCCATGAGTCATACACATATGGAGGTTGACTCTGACCCTGGAAGCCTGTACCCTCCCTCCCCCTCCATGGCCCCCACAGCCACGGCCACAGCAGCCAGCCTCCTGCAGGGACATCCCCTGAGCAGAGAAATACAGGACAGGAGCCCAGGGTCCAGTGCGGGAGGGATGGAGAAATGCAGCCTGCCTCTCCCAGGCTCCATCATCTTCTTCCTACTTGTCACATAAAGTCACAGTAGAGCTCCGAGGACCCCCAGCACAGGAACAACAATCCATGGGATGACTCCCTCGTGGACAGCAGAGGCTTCTCCAGTTGGATCTATTCCATCGCACAGAGAGAATACAGAAGGTTAAGGTGACAGAGAACAGAGGACACCCATTGCCAGACACATGGAGACTCTGAAGGGACCTGGTCAGGAGCTCGAGAGGGAGGANATGGAGACTCTGAAGGGACCTGGTCAGGAGCTCGAGAGGGAGGAGCACGGCAGGGGCTCTCACTCAGCCAGTTCCCCAGCTCCTGCTTGGGGCCGGGGCGCTGAGAGGAGCAGGACATGGTGCCCGCCCTTGAGGAGCCCCTCAGCAGGGGGAGGGCTGACACTGGCCAGAGGCAGCCAGCCAGAGCCATCCCAGGACCCTAGAGCTACAGCTTGTACCGAGGTCATCAGGGAGGGCCTCTTGGAGGAGGTGATGGGCAAGCCGGGTCTTGAGGGAGGAGTAGGAGATTGCTGGGTATTCAGGGTGGGTGTGGCATCCCAGGAAGGAGAGCCTTGACCAGGAATGGCTGTGACAAGTCCGCAGCCCTGGGAGCTGCTGGCACCCACTGGGACAGGCCAGAGAGGGACCCGGTAAGGGAAGCTGTGTGGGAGAATGAAAGGGAGGCGGGAAAGGGCACTCACTGTGCCCTTTCCAGAGGGCACAGTGGGTCCCTGAGCCATGAGCTTCCTCTGGGATGAGGGATACTGAGACAGTAGGCCCTCCAGCAGCTGGCAGATGAGGGGTAGAAGGAGAGGGGTCTCACAGGGAACCAGATCATTCATTCACTCATTCAGGGACACGCTGACTGTGAGCAATGGGCCTGAGGCTGAGGCTGGGACAGGCATTCAAAGGAGCAGCAGACATGGCCCCTGCCCACCAGGGGTTCAGGCTGCACAGGACACTAATCCTGGGCCAGAGCATCAGCTCCCAGTGTGGGGCCACTGACCACTCCTTAGAGGAGACGAGGTGTGAGGGCAGGACAGCAGCAGCTCCTGCAGGGCCCTGAGCCATCGAGGCTGAGGAGCCCCTGTGCAAAGTCTCTTCATGCTGGGACTGCCCCCAGCACGCGGCCCTGTGGGACTGCCCGGGTCACAGTCCCCCGGAGCCAGCTGCAGGGAGGGGTCCCTGGATGGGAATAAGTGGGGAGTGGAGGACCCCTGACTTGGAAGGGCTGAGGGCAGAGGGAGGGGCCTGAGCGGAGGTTGGCAGCGGAGGAGAGCGGGACACATCGGGAACACAGGCGAGCAGGTGGGTGGAACAGACCCCGGACACCCCCCAACTCGCTTTTCCTGAAAACGTCTCTAGACACACAAGGAAGGATGTATGAGGGTGGGGAGAGGTACCTGCTGGGTGCTGCCTGGACCAGCAGGGCTGAGGGCTGGAGAGCAGCACGGGAGCGACACCAAAGGACAGAAGCAGGTTGGATGTTCCCGCCAGAGTCCTGGACAGGGTGACCAGGCAGCAGGGAGTGACATAAACATGGGGGACAGAAACCGAGAACCCTCACCCTGAGCTGCGGGAGAGTCCCTCTCCTTTGGCAGGTGCACTCACCGTGGCCACAGACATCCCCAAGGTCCTGGGAGGCTGTTTTCTTGTCCGCCTGGTTGCTGACCACACAGGTGAAGCTGGGGCTCGGCCGGCTCAGGGGCAGGGTCGCAGCCAGTGTCCAGGGGTTGGGGGCTGGTCCTGGGGCCGGTCTCTGCTCCAGCTCCCTGGGGAGACCCTCGCTCTCCCAGGACACCCTCAGGTCCTCCCTGGTTTCCGTGGTGTTACACTCCATGGTGATGTTGCACCAGCCTGGTGTGAGGGACAGAACTGTGGCCTGGATCTGGGGAAGGGGCACAGGCTCTGGGGTGGGAGGGACAAGAGGACAGTCTCAGGTGAGTGTAGAACATCACAGCTCCTGCTTTCTTCTGCGGATTCTCCCTGAAGCTCTGGCTTCCTCCCCGTAAGGACAATGAATGCATTTTACAAATAACAGGGAATTGATCCAAATATACAGCAGGTGCCAGTAAGGAAGGGAGCCACTGAGTTCAGCTCTATGTGATTTCACTAGACTGAGCACTTTTTCCCTAGATTTCGCTAGATTTCACTAGACTGTGTCTTCAAATTTGCCCTTGATAAAATAAATGCTAGAGCCACCCACCTGAAACCCATTAATTCTACGAGAGTGGGGTGTGCCCGAGAAGAAGGAGAAGTTGGGACGGGATTTGTCCTAGTCCAGGCCATGGCCCTGTTTCTCCTGCTTGGATGGTTCCCAGGACCGCAGAGCCCGTGGTGCAGACAGCCACTGGCCAGCTCTGGGAGCCCAGAGATCAGCCCCAGGCTCCACCAGGAGAGACCACAGTGGGGGACACAGTGCTGGTCCCAAGGTATGGATACTCCAAGGTGGTTATAACAGGCACTGAGCTTGGGGTCCACCCAGGAAGACAAGGGACAGACTGACAGTCACTCTTGGGAATCTCCAGGTCCTGAGGGTTCCAAGTCCCCTCTCTCTGGGGCAGGACGTCTCCCTGTGCATGGGGGAGGGGTGCACACAGAGCGAGCTGCTCCCTGAGGATCTGGGGAAGGGTTACCCTGTGAATTCTCCTCCACCCGTTGGGGTTCAGAGTTGGACCGTGCAGTCTGTGAGTGAGCTGACTTGGGCTGGGCTGAGAAGGACAAGGGGACGGGGCAGGGAGAACCACACGCAAGATTCCAGATCCTGCTAGGTGACGAGTGTCCCCCAACCATGGCCACGTGCTGACCCTCAGAGCCCGCAGGTGGCTTAGGTTCCAGGGCAAAGGGGAACTGAGGCTGAGAACCAGCTGATGCTAAACTAGAGATGGTCTGGATTCCCCGGTGACCACATGACGTGTAATTTCAGGGGAGAAGATAGAGTCCGAAGACTGCGGTCTGGAAGGAATCCTTTAGGGGCTGCTCATGGACACTCCCAGGGACTGAGAAAGGGGGTCAGCTGTGGGACTGGGGGAGGGGCCGCCATGTACCATAGACCATCAGGTGGAAATCCTGGTCATATTGTCTTCCTCTCGTATAGGACTGTCGAGCCCGGTACAGCCCACTGTCTTCAAGGGTCAGATTGTCAATCCTCAGGGTCGTTGTGTTGAGCACATGGACCCTCTTCTTGAACTTGTCCTGGAAGTTGACCCATTCTGGAACATCTCTCCCAGGAAACACGTGCAGCATGACTATGTAATTTGATCTGGATACGACGCCCCAAGACATCTTCTCCAGCTCAAATTCTGGAGGTAATTCTGGATTTCTGATCACTTGAAACAGCACAGGAGCTCCCTGAATCCCATTCAGAGGAACAGGAATTCCAGAATCGTCCACAGCAGACCCACGGGCTCCAGGACTCTGGGTCACAGTGCTGCAGACACCTAGGGCATAGGATGCAGAAAATGTGAGTGGTTTTTTTAGGAATAAAGGAGGAAACCCTAGAACCCTTCTTCCTGAAATCCATCCCATGTGCCCCCTTGACCTGAGAAGGCAGGAGGGTGCCATGAATTTGAGGCGAGGCTGGAATCCCTCCTGGTCCCAAGGGAGCGTCCTCTTGAACAGGTCATGGGAACTCGCTCACCTGCAGTGTCCTGACCCCTGACAGCGAGAGGACGAATGTCAGGAGGTCTCGGAACTGAAGCACGAGTACATTTCGGGGGCCACACCGAGAGCATTTGTGCAGGAGGCAGGTTCTCACGGGGCTGCAGAGACCCCTCATGCCCACAGACCGTGTGAGCTCTGCCCCTGGAGGGGGGTCGCTCCTGGGGACTCCCCTCTAAGGAGCAGAGCACCGTTAACATGATGGACAGCCCTCAGGGACAGCAGGTCTGACAGGAGTGTGACCCTGTCCTGCTGTGACCCTGTCTCCTGCTCGCTGTGACAAAGTCCGCCACCGTGTTGTGGGCAGCCCCTGTGTAGAGACCCTCATGGGGAGGGACGGAGGGCAGCCTCTGGCCACCAGTCTGCAGGGTCTACCCTCTTGGAAGTGCGTCATTTAACAGCTGCTCACAGCCCAAACGGGGCTCTTGCTCCCTCCTCGTGGGACAGTTCTACTGATGTTGTTCCTGCAAACACCAGCAGCTTGGGATGGATTCTCTGCACACAGGGACTGAGGTACGTCAGCTGGGGGGGCATCCGTGGCCCTTGGGTGTGTGGACATCACACCCAGGACATACGTGTCACACGTGAGTGTGTAATTCTGGTTTTGTGATCACTTAAAGCAGCACATGCCCAACGTGCATGTATGCGCTTCACACGCGGGTGTGTAGACACTGGGGTAACCCATGAGAGATCTATTAGACCAAAGGCAGCTCCATCTCAGCCTCTGACAGACCCTGCTCATCGCCCTCCTGAGAGCGACCCCAACCGCTCTCCCCCCAATAATGCTGAGGTTCCCACCAGCACACGGTGGTCAAACTTTTTAGCCTTCGCCAGACTGATAAGAGAAATTTATGTCACATTATATCTAAGGAACATTCCTCCTGTGAATGAGCCTGGCGGCTCCTCACGAATTAACAGACAGAAAACACTATCCTGTGTGACCTGCCTCCCGTCCTAGATCAACACACACAGAGCTCATGGATGTAGAAATATGCAAAGTTCCGTGCAGCAGAGGAGCCCCCAGTCCCAGGGTGTCACCGCTGGAGGCCCGTAGAGGGGACCTTTCACAGAGGAGGGACTCCCTTGGCGGAGAGTGGGGGAGGAGGACCTGTCCCGGGTCACCCGGGTCAGAGTCAGACCTGGAGCTTCCCCTTTCTCAGCCCAGTGCTTCCCCTGCACGGAGCTGCCCTGCCCTCCCCCTGCTCTCCCCCTGTCCCACCCAGAGCTCCTACCTCCCAGCACTGCTCTCTGGTCAACAGTCTTAGCAGGTCTGGGGTCTCATTCTCCAAATATTGTCCTGGGAGAGGGGACTCAAATACTCAGCGGGCTTTGGCAGGGAGGGGACGCGGGGCTACCTGAGGGTTAACCAGCACCTGCTGGAAAGGGGGGAACGCGGGACAGAGGAGGCTCAGCCCTCAGGCTGCGGGGGAGGAGCGGCCCCAAAGCTGGAAGCCCACTCAGGACGGGAGGAAGACACGACAGTGCTCAGATCTGCAGAAGGTGCTGACGCCAAAGAGGGACAGAAGGTCAGGGGCGGGTGCCGAGAGCGAGAGAGCCCGAGTTTATTTAAATTAGATGAAATGTGACTTTCAACCATCAACATAGCATTTTGTCCATTTCTCTCTCTTCCTTCCTCACTTTCTTTCTCCATCTTCCAACCCAGACATTTACGTAGGAAACTATGGGATTTCCCATATGTCTCCGCGTCAATGAAACTGAAAGGAAGAGAAACACCACGTATGAAGGCTTTTCATGCCTTGCCTGAGGACGCAGTGCCCTGTTTACACCCGCCCCGTGATTCTGGAATTTCCTGGAATCCCTGCAGCTCAGACGGGCTGCAGCGCTCACACAAAACAGTACAAACAAAACATTTCTCATTTATTCGTATGTCATTTGTTACACAAAGCAGACAAACTCTGAGGAAGTAAGAACCAGGAAATCCGGCATTTGTGGGGACAGGGTGTTTCCAGTTCCCTTTTGGGGGCCCCCGCTGCTTCCTCCCTGCCCCACCCAGAGCCCAGGTCAGCAGTCTCCCATTCCAGGCTCACCCTTACACACGGCAGGTGGGCGCAGACCCTTGAATTCTGGGGGCTCTTACCTTCCCTTGCAAACAGAATGTCACTGGATTCAGGGCCTCATCTTGCCCAAGGAGCCAGACTAGCGTGGCCCCTCCAGCTCAGACGGGGGCTCTGGGTCGGCCCCTCCTGCACACGGCAGCTGTAGAGGCTGCCGGTCCCCGTGCACGGCAGGGGGGATGTCCGTCCCCACCCCGGGTCCCCCACAGCTGCTCATCTGTCTCCTCCATCCTCTCCCCACGAGGCTCCAGGCTCTCCCGGCCTCACCGCCCTAGGTGGGGGGGAGGGGATTCCTTTCATGCTTCCAGGCAGCCGGGTCGGGTCGGGGTTCCCAGCCTGGCCTCAGCCCAAAGCTCCCTTTGTTCCCTCTGTCCACCCGGGGCTCTAACCCAGCGCACCGCGTGTGCTCCGTCGTCACGGGGCTGCTCCGTCTGGCTCTTCAGCACAGACCTCAGCCAGCCCGGGAGCTCCTGCCTCCCTGCCCACCCGGC